TCATCAGTGTCATTCCCACTAAAGAACTTATCAAAATCTAACCCCCTTAAGTACTCATCCCCTAGGTAAAAAAGTCAAGATCATAGGTATAAAAATGAAACTACAATGTGTTGAATCGGAACCTACCTAACTAATAAAAACCAAAGATTTAAGTAAGCTAAAGGAGACAAATCTATACAACTCTCTAATAAGGAAAATCCCCAAAGGCTTGGTAGCCATCATAATGAAGTAATGAAATTGGGTTGTTAGCGGAATGCTAAATAAAACAGCAAAAAAGGTTATCTTCCATTTAATTCCACTTAATTAATTTTGGTATCCATGACAGATACGTATTTCGACTACAATGTGCAGTCTTCATCAGTGTCATTCCCACTAAAGAACTTATCAAAATCTAACCCCCTTAAGTACTCATTATGATGGCTACCAAGCCTTTAGTGGGAATGACACTGATGAAGACTGCACATTGTAGTCGAAATACGTATCTGTCATGGATACCAACATTAATTAAGTGGAATTAAATGGAAGATAACCTTTTTTGCTGTTTTATATCAAGATTGTTATCAAAACAGCTCATGATAAAAAGAATGGAACATTTTGTGATGCGTCCATATCAAAACCCACCTAAGCCTAAGCTCTCATCTGAGAACAATAGTAATCATGAATGTACAAAGAAGATTTTGGTTTTTTGCAGCATCAGAGAAAGAATGGAAACTTATGTGATTTTTCATTTAATATGAATTATGCTTATCGCCCATTATGCCCAACGTCCATTACGCCAACCATCCACTATACCTATCGCATACGTATGTGTGTCTAACGTATTTATACCTAACTTCGTGCACCCTTTCCAATCAATGTTGTACTGAGCACATACTTATTGGAAACCAAACGTTTGATTTGGGAAAAGTCACAGTATTGTATAGATAGGAGAGAAAGGGGTATAATGAGCATTCGAGTGAGTTGATTACCCCTTTCCTTAATAAACAGATGCCATTAACTAACGACGACCGGAAGGGATATTACGAACACGCTGTAAAGTACATAGTAATGATGCATGTTAATTTTTTATTATGGCAGTCCTCCAAATTGGAGACAAAAGGGGTGCTTAAATCACCACATATAATCGTTATACCAATTCCTTCTCTACTTTGCTGACATATATATATATATATAAACCAACATTTTATTTAATATTGAATGTACCGTCTTCTGATAAGGAAAACAAACCTGCCTGTTGCGTTGTCATAAAATGCAACCTTCATTATCTTCTTTGCATCAGAGACCTAATATAAAACTTATGATGAAGCACTGAAGAAATAATAACGTATTTTTTGGGAATTGTTTTATCTCACAACATTCATTGCGAAGAGTTGTTTTAGAGGAACGTTTTTTATTTAACAATTTCCAAGAAGAACCCTCCAGAAATCAAAAAGCAGCCTAGTTAGTGCTTTTAATAATATGTTCGACTACTAGAAGGGAAACATATAACAAGTGACTGTGACTGTGACTGTCAAAATGAAGCTTGTTAATAACGTTAACGCCTCAGTTACCAAGCCGAAGGCGGCTAGTTCGATTCTCGGTCCACTCTAGGAATTTCTCGGGTAGGAAAATTTCTCGAGTTGCCTGGGCATAGAGTATCATTGTGCTTGACTGCTTGCCACAAGATATACAATTCCATGCATTTGTAAAGCCACTTTATTTCATAATCATCCCTTCAGTCCTCAATCCTAAATTTGGGTGAGGAACTTACACTGATAGGCAAAATAAAGTGCCCACCCCATCATTTTTGAAATTTCTCTCATTTATTTGGTTCAAATTCAAATAAACACACCGTAGTCTGTTTCGATGTCTTACCTTTATTATTCTTTTAAAGTTACACCTATGGAATACTGAAAATATAAAGTTTTACTTGAAGTAAAAGAAAATCAATTTGGATTGAAAAAGAAAACAGTGACAAAAAAAAGTGCCCACTTCAAAAATCGGTATGTTTTCGATAAGTTTCCATCGGAAAACCCCTCGATTGTTTTTGTTTTGAAAGTTTGACATGTATTGAAGCAAACGGGTGGAACTGGTGCATTTGTACACGTGATCGCATTTGAATCAGTTGAAAAAAATGGAGGACGTAGTGATTTCGAAAGCAATTCCTTTGTGTATCCGAAAATTGGTTGTTCGTGATGTGCAAAACGGTGAATCGCACCGGTCTGTCGCTAGGAAGTACAATATCAGCAAAACAGCGGTCGGGAAAATTCTGCAGAAAATGAAATCGTTCGGATCAGTGGTGGATCGCCCTGGCAGAGGCAGGATGCGCAAAACGGATGCGAGAACGGACACCAAGATCATGCGTGAAGTGAAGAAGAACCCGAAGGTAACTGTCCGCGAGATCCAGGAGGCTCTTCAGCTAACAGTTTCCAGTCGAACTGTTCGTCGCCGTCTCGTAGCACAGGGGTTGAACAGCAAAGTTGCTCGGAAGCGCCCATTTATCAGCAAGGCAAACAAAGTCAAACGGCTTAAGTTTGCTAAGGAGCATGCTGATAAGCCCCTAGAGTTCTGGAAAACGGTTCTCTGGACGGACGAATCAAAATTCGAACTGTTCAACCGGAAGCGACGGGTTCGTGTGTGGTGTAGATCGGGTGAGGAGCTTCAGGAGCGCCACATACAAGGCACGGTGAAGCATGGAGGAGGAAATGTGATGGTCTGGGGGTGCTTTTCGTGGGGTGGAGTGGGAAGCCTGGTGAAAATCGACGGGATAATGACGGCAGATTCCTACATCGACATCCTGCGGGAAAATCTGGAAGTTTCGCTGATCCAGACGGGCCTTGAGGAGAAATTCGTATTCCAGCAGGACAACGATCCGAAGCATACTGCCAAGAAGACTAAGTCTTTCTTCCGGTCATGTCGAATTAAACCACTGGAATGGCCTCCACAAAGCCCGGACCTCAACCCCATCGAGAATTTGTGGGCGATTCTCGATGCCAGGGTTGACAAAACTGGTGTTACCAATAAAAATAACTATTTTGAAGCCCTGGAGCGCGCCTGGGAAGAACTAGATCCACAGCACCTGAAGAATCTAGTGGAGAGCATGCCGAAGCGCCTGCAGCTGGTCCTGAAGGCCAAAGGAGGACACATTAACTATTAGGCTGGTATTCTTTTACTTTATTTTATGTTTTCTGGAGTTAAAATGCAGTGGGCACTTTTTTTTGTCACTGTTCTTTTTTACACCCATTTTGATTTTTTTTTCTTCGAGTCAGTCTCTTCTTTTTATCTGGTATTCTATAAGTGAAACTTAAAAAGAATATAAAGAATAAGATATAAAAAATACTACAGTGTATTTACTTTAATTTGAACCAAATAAATGAGAGAAATTCAAAAAATGATGGGGTGGGCACTTTATTTTGCCTATCAGTGTATTTATATTCCGTCATATGTTCCTATTTTAATATTTATATCTGATGGTTATTTAGAAACCAAATGTAATAGACTATGTAGTCGCATTTTTATGAGGTTCTGAATTTGGCAAACTTTTACTAAGTATGAAATCAAAAATTTGTTCATAGCTCCGACATAACAATTTACTTCTACTGTATTTTAAATCAAAATTAAGAAAAATGCAACATCAATTATGCGATCATGTCTTTTACACAACCCCATCAATTTTTGATTCAAAATAGTGAATTAAAAGTTATTTTTAGATACAATCTTCATAGAGATAGTTGAATAACCTTTGCATATTTTTCGATGGATGTAAATTGATAAAAGTATATTATTAAAGTCTATCGGAATTAACTTAATCCTTACAATGGCATTAATTTCCGGTTGCCGGTTAAACAACGCTAGCGTTAAAGCAATTTCAAGAGATAAAATATAAAAAAAAAATAAAAAATAAATAATGCCGCGCAGCCCACCATCGATGGTGCGATCGATCAACCAATTCAAAGTTGTTATCAAAAGAGTAGTTCGGAACCAAAACCGTGCATGATAGCCAAAGTCAGCCATAAACGAACCCGAAACGAGGAAGTTCACAAAGTGGCTCAGGGAATGGAAAAAATAAAATCAACTGTAAATATTCCAAGACGACACTTGTGAGCTAAACCCGTTCTATATTTTAAGTGCTCTATTTTAAATAGAAAATTTAGACAAGTAATATTCAACAGAAAAACAAATCTCATTGAAAAAGTGTTTGTAAAATCATTGAAATCGCTGTTGGCGCAAGTATCTGGTAAGAAACAAAATGTGACACTCAAAATCAACTCAAACATGTACGAGGTGGTTTAATTAAATATGAATTAAATTTTGCGTTGGTAATGTACAGCAACCATATGCAAACGATTAAAATTGGTTTTCAATTGTGTGCCGTTTGAAAAGCGGTGAAAAATTGAAAATTGATTTCAGCTCATTTTTACGGCCTATAAAAAACCCGAAATCTTGGTTCAGATAAGATAACGATTTTGCACATGGTGCCACGAGGACAATTTACGACACAAGTGAAACAGCGCATCCGTTGGGATGTAGTTGAAATTTGGATTTATGTGCTATAATCAGTTTATTGGCTGTATTTCGGTAAACGACTGAGCCAAATGTCGAGGCGTCCCATGCTGACGTGCAGTGTTATAGGAGAGTATGTCCTGGCGCATCCTTTGCTTGTAGTTTAGACATGTTTTGTGCCACTGACTTGCTCTGTTTGCCATTCCAAATAAAGTTTGTGAGGACTATGAGGATATCGTGTGTACAAGTAGTGTGCAAAGCGATTGACTTTGAGAGGCAATCTCTGCTAACAGAATAATAATGGCACCACTAAAAGGGCACTGCTGGTGAAAAGAAGTCGCCTAGCACGAAAGTTTCACTGTAATCCCCAGGAGAGTGAACGAATGTGATAGAGTCAGCATCATGGAGGGACCTTTCCGAAACCGGATCTACCTCCTTTATATTCATTGTCGTGTTCACTATTTAATAATCATTTTCCGTATTTGTCCTTTTCATACTTTTTTGCTTTGCGTTTTCAGAAGCACGTGCGGAGATAGTCGGACCACAAGTAAAGTACTTGACACCTGATTCAACGCTGAAATTAATATGCCGGGTTGTACAGAGCACCGAAGCGTCTGCGTTCATATTCTGGTATCATAATAATCGAATGATAAACTACGATGTCGATAGAGGCATTAATGTCTCGACTGAAGCAGGTACGTACGTACATAACATTAAGTAGGGTAGATTCATCAATCGGATTCCTATATACCATAATAGAAACGTATATAGCCGTGACTGGTTCTTCTACCCAATTTCCCTTTATTTCTGTCTATTCAGCAGTCTAGACTTAATCTTTTCATTAGCATTGGCCTCATCGCGTTATGAGGTCTAGTAGATTATTCCATTATCACACTTAATTTGTAAGAGCATTCTCTATCGTTTTACATAATTAAACTCTACTACAACTGAATTCGTGTTCTTTGAGGTTAATAATTGAGGTAAAGAGGCATTAGGGGCCTCGATAGCCTTGTCATTAAAGGCGTGTCATTATCGTGTATTACGTGTAAAGGGTGATACGGTCAAAATTTGGTCAAGGGAAAACGCGTGTAAATCGGTGAAATCGTTTATTTAAAAAATCAAATTAAATTTCTTTTTCAAGTTCAATTAGTATAAAATTCAGGAAAAATATTCCGCTTTTCCAAATCCGAATTGCCGGGCCTTACGCTTGACCCCTGCCATCAGATTTTGTACAGCCACCTTGTCCACCTTCTTCGCCGCAGAAAGCCAGTTTGCCTTGAACTGCTGCTCGCCCTTAGCAGTTTTTTTTGGTCTTCTTTAGGTTCCGCTTGACAATAGCCCAGTATTTCTCAATTGGGCGGAGCTCATGCGTGTTAGGAGGGTTCTTGTCCTTGGGAACCACCTGCACGTTGTTGGCGGCGTACCACTCCATGGCCTTTTTACCGTAATGGCAAGATGCCAAATCCGGCCAAAACAGTACGGAACAACCGTGTTTCTTCAGGAAAGGCAGCAGACGTTTATTCAAACACTCTTTCACGTAAATTTCTTGGTTGACAGTCCCGGAAGCTATGAAAATGCTGCTTTTCAAGCCACAGGTACAGATGGCTTGCCAAACCAGATATTTCTTTGCGAACTTTGACAGTTTCATGTGCTTGAAAACATCTGCACCTTTCCGCTTCCTTTTGCCGTATAAAACTCCTGTCCCGGAAGCTGCTTGTAGTCGGCTTTGACGTAGGTTTCGTCGTCCATTACCACGCAGTCAAACTTCGTCAGCATCGTCGTGTACAGCCTCCGGGATCGTGCTTTGGCCGTCGTATTTTGTTTATCATCGCGATTTGGAGTCACTACCTTCTTGTAAGTCGATAGTCCGGCTCGTTTTTTGGCTCGATGCACGGTTGTAGACGATACACCCAGCTTATTTGCGGCATCTCGGAGAGAGAGGTTAGGGTTTCGCTTGAAACTACCGGCAACTCTCTTTGTCGTCTCAGCGGCTTCCGGTTTTCGATTTCCCCCCGATCCAGACTTCCTGGCTGTCGACAAACGTTCCCGAAACACTTTAATTACATTTGTAACGGTTGATTTGGCAACTTTTAGCGATTTTGCCAACTTTGCGTGCGAGTAGCTCGGATTTTCGCGATGCGCGAGCAAAATTTTGATACGCTGCTCTTCTTGCTTGGACGGCATTTTGACAACTGAAGAGTGAATTCCAAAATCAAAATAGGAGCAACATTCTACACACACACACCTTCAAAATGAGGGGTGTTCAGGTTTTTTAAATGCAAAATTGAAAGAAATACGTCAAGTTGATATTGACCAAATTTTGACCGTATCACCCTTTATTAACAAGTTCAGCAGCAGGTTCGATTCTGAGTCTGGTTGTGGAAATCTGATTCAGGGATCTGGTAACTTACTTTCAATAGAAGTGAAAAGCTTATAAGAAGTAGAAATATGTGTTCCTATGTTGTGATATTATAGGCCTTAAGGGAAGATTCATACATGACGCAGCATTTAAGGGTGACCATGTATCAAAATACGTTACCAGGGGGAGAGGGACCAAATTTGGTGATTCATAAAATGTAAACAAACTTTAAACGCTTGTTTACGTTTGATGAAGTACCAAATTTGGATCCCCTCCCCCTTGTAATGTATTTTTCTACATGGCTGGTCACCCCAAAATAAAACGTAATTTATGCATCTTCCCTTAGAAGCATATATAATGGAAAATGTAAAATAGAAAGAACAGACACATGGGAAAAGTTATCTTAGAGACTGTCGATTAAGGTGCTTTAAATTGATACAAAATATTTTCAATCATTGAGGCCGCCCTCCATTTCGATTCATAATCCTGAGGTATAAGCCTGCGCAAAGAATGGTAAATATTGATTGAATTCTAGAGATATCGCATCAACAACTTGTTTACTATTGTATTTTCAGGTATCATTCAGGTATCAGAAAAAAAATCAGTTTCAACCTTTATGAAACATTGCATAATTGATTGTTATGGTCAATAGAGATAGAATTCGGCCATTTTGAATATTGCAAAAACTTAAGAAATTGGTTTAGAGTAGATGAACCAGTTATTTCTATAAATGTATATTAGACTGATGAAAAATTTGACATTTTAGCTACACAGTGCTCAAGCGGTTCCAAATCGGGTCTAGATTAGCCTCCCAAGGTTTGAACTGATTTGGTAAGAAAGTGACTGGGCACAAACCATTTGAAGTTTGTATGGGAATTACTATGGGGAAACCGAACTTTTTCTTCGTAGTCTTCTATCCTTCTTCCATATTGCACCGTTAAAAATTTCTATAGCTATTCTTATGGAAAATTTTCTCAGCTACAACTTTGCCGTAAATTTTTTTTCAGTCAAACATCAAATTAAATAGTTATTAATTTAGTTGAAGATGCTAATTTCAAATAACAGACTAAAGTGGTAATTTTTATACAATAGATGAGGAGATGAAAGTATAGAATTGATAGTTCCGTTTAGAGTACGACAGTGTGAAGAGAGTAGAAAGCGAGCTAGACAACTTTTAGGAAGGTACAAATCAGTTCTATCATCTCTCTTTACCAAACTTCCCCTTTGGAGAGGGATGGTGAGTTCCACTTTCATTGCAGTATGTTTTTGTGAGTGCTGATATTTTTGCTCTTGTAATTTCGAAGTGATAATGAAATTAATCAGAAATATGGTTGCCACAGCGATTCACCTTAAGGTGTCTTCAGACCTAAGCGGCTGAGGTGCGCGCGTTAATATGAGAGAGACAACGCCAATTCCGCCCGACGCCCGCCAAACTCACTCAGGTCGGAATACACCCTTACTTGCCCACTGGGAAAACTCTTCGAAGCTTCTTGCCTCGAACCGAAAAGTCAACTGGTGCCTCGAAAAGCGCACCTCACGTCAAATCATCCTTTTGCTTGAGTTCGCTCTCCCTCTCGGGGAGTTTTTCTTTGCTTCTTCCATATTCCAACAGTCACTCATTCGAGGTGGGTAAGGGCAAGAGTATTTTATAACCTCCAGTGAGTTTGAGGAGTTTCATCAAGCCTGCTTCTAATTGAAATGATATCTGAGATAAATTTTTAGGAATAAATAAGTTCTTCTCAAGAAAAAAAATCCACGGAAAAAAAGTTAATAACTTATATTTCAGCTGAACTCATGTATCAAAAAATGACAAATAATTATAATTATAATACCAAATTATGTCATGTTCTTGTTTTTCGGGTTATAAACATGTTTTGATAACACTTATTTCATTTCTCCATGCGTTCTACACATTTCACTGCGATATGGCTGATGGCTGATGAACCAAAATATAGAAGGAAAATACATTTCATTTGTACTTTTAACATCACGTGCACGTTATGTAGAAGAGAAAAGTAAGATAATTATAAAAAAAAAGAAGTACATACCTATTCTATTTTTTGTGAACATTTCCAAATTAGGGAAATTTTATCCACAGCTTTTTGCACAATTCAATTTATTGTTTAAAGCCTTTTCTAAGAGCCAATGAGTTTTTTAGAAGTAGAATGTAAAAATTAACCATACACAAAAGGTGGAGATTATGGAATAAACTGATGCAATTTATTCGCACAATAAAATTCCACAGAAGAATAAGTTTTGTAAATTGATGGTGGAAACATAAACAAACTCCATTCGCGCGAAGGATGAAATTATTTTACAACATGTTCAATATAGTAGGTTGCGTTACAGCAATAAATAAGTTGACATATCAAGAGCCACTTTTCACATGTTGTTCTTGATATGTTATGTATAGATACCACGTCTTGCACTTTTTTCGTTATAAATGAGTTGTATATAAGTGACTTGATGTGAATGTTTCCAGCTGAGATTGTCAGAAATAAGTTATGTATAACTATTTGTGACAAACTGTGTAGCTTGGGGCAAATCAAAAAAGTAGATAGGTCCAGTAGATATGGTCCACCTAAGAAAAACACACAATAAAACATGAAAAACATTCATACCTGTGTGAAAACTGTGATCAACTTATGCTTTGGAATATGTTTGATAATATACAGTGTTCAAAATATGGAAAAAGTATGATATACTCATTAAATTCATATATTTAAAAAAATTATGTTTTTGCTCCGATCAACTACCAGACGGGGCAATATGAGCACCCTAGTACGAGTTAACGTTTTTAAAGATTTTTACTAGCAAATAACATTTAGAAATCATATGGATTATAAATATAAGCTATTTTAGCAGCTGTTGCGTGTAATGCTTGCTGCCAAAATATCCATCATCTACATAAAATTGACAAATAGCAGATCCATAGGCCAACATTAGAGCCACTTCCCATATATAAAAAGAGATTGTGCTGTGTTCTGTACTTGAACCCACACCCGTTTTAGCAGGTCGAGAATACGACAGCCTTAACTCACTGATCTATACCCGGGTGTGAAGCACCACAAACAAGTATGTATTAAACAAGACTATAGATTGGTAGTAAGCAATGTTAACTGTTAATTAAAATAACCACGTGCTCAAGAGCTCGAGTGGAAGCATTCTTTTGCCCGTTTGAATAATTAAAGCTACAGTGTTAATGGATCGTATCATTCGAGCAGTTTAAAATTACGCTTTCTACCACTTGAACTTTATCATGCATCAAAATTTTGCGATGTTTTCGTTAAATTCTTTGAGAAGATTGGGTTTTATATATGATAGACCTAAAAAAAAATAGAAATTTATTACCTAATTTTTTTTATCACTGGTAGAAGAACTTTCAAAAACTTCTCGACTTTAAGTTAATCTATTAACTAGATGTTCTGTAAATCTATTAGTCACCGAACTGGATTTTTTTATACTCTGCCATTGACAGGCGTCGCAGCTTTGGAGAGGTTTTTATGGCGTTGACATGATCTATTAACATAAAAAGTTTGGTTGTGACGATTTCCCAACAAATATTTAACAATGTTGTTATTTACGTTAAGTGGTACCAGAATTGACGTTGCTTTTAATGAACACTAATGGATGCTCAGAATGTTATGCGACGGCAACTATACGGATTTATCCTGCACTCAATTTATTCATAGTTATTAAATTTAATAAAATTAATAACTACGCCAATATTCTCAGTAATAAAGTTCAAGATTTCAATTGTTCATACAATGATGGCCAAAATTTAAATAAGTGATAATAAATTGAGGAATGCTATGAACCAGACTAGAGGCTTCTCAAAGGTCAGCCGATAAAGGCGTATCTATAAAGCAAGACTATTATGGAGGCGGTAGGTTTGATTCCCGGTCCTGTCTTGGTATTTTTTAGGACAAAACAATTTCTTGACTGCCCTAGGCATAGAGTATGATTGTACTAACCTACCACACAATAAGAAGAACTCTAAGTTGAGAGCCGGTCGATAGCACCCAACGACGGGTGATGCCGCTAACCGCAATGATTTAGTGAAGTAAGATTACGTGAATGTGAGGTTAAAAGCTGTTTAAGAAAACAAATTTGGTGTTGATCATATCCTATATGAAGTTGTTATCAATGCATTCGTCATCCAACCTTTTTGCAGTAAATAAATCTTGAAGAGCTTCGATAATATACCCTTCAAAACCTTCTCCAGGATGGGTCAACTAGACAGATTCTAGTCTTAATGATTGGTGGATGCATCAATGGCAAAGCATTTCGCTATTTTCGCTGTACCACTGTTTGGTGTAATTTGAGTAGTGAAAGCATTCCAAGTCCGGCCAGAATAGGCAATCCACCTCATGAAGCTCCAGAAAACGCAGTAGTCTCTTCCGTAGGTAGTCCTCCTGTTAAATTTGCTGGTTCATGAAAGTTTCGCTTTTCAGCCCACAACTGCAGATTGCTTGTCATGCATTGTGTCATTGTGAAGTCATGCTGTAAACAAATGAACTTATTCTGACAACCAATGCCTACTTAATTTTATACACTTTTGAGCTTGATTCAGTAAAATTTTGAAAAAAAAAATGTTACTACAAAATGCATCAATAGCAGTGTTTTTAATTTGTCCGGATTTTTTCGTGTTCAACCTTTACTCCTTCGCTCTATCTAATGGATCAATTCACATTTTTCAACCACATTTCTTTATTCATGTTTCAGAGAAACATGAATTTAAATCCTATATATTTTTATTATAATTCCCTGCAGATTTTCACTATTCGGAACTCAGCATCAACCATGCTGGAAAGGAACACTCTGGAAATTATACTTGTGTCCCAAGCAACTCACAACCAGCCAGTGTCGTTGTACATATATTCAAAGGTGAAAGTTTACAAATGAAATTTGGATGGAGGGTCGATAGTTTATTTTTTCTATTATTCTTTTTCAGGCGACCATCCAGCTGCAATGTATCACGAGCACCGCAGCTCTTCCACAATCCCATACCGAGATCCGAGACTGTACGGATTGGTGCTACTCATTGAAATTCTGTTCTATTCAACGATGCTCTTTTGAAAACTCGTACCAGGCCTTTTATTTGCAGATTAAGGGAGAAAATCATGTTCGTACCATCAATCGGTTGTTGTTAAGGATAAAGTTCCGAGAGTTGTTCAGGAAAAGTTTTTATTTTGCGAATTTGTCGAGAGAAGGAAAATCTGGAATATTAAAACGACAACTTTTGGTTCATTGGGCTCGATAAAAATAATGATGATGAGTGCTTTCGTTATCCCACTTTTTGACAACTAACACAAAAGTTGAGTTTTATATTCAACCAATTTAGTATCAAGCAGAGCGTTTTGGGAGTTTATACGACGTTTCGTACGTGTTATTTTGTTGTATATATGCATGTTTTATAAAATGCAATTGTTTTCGTTTGTCACATGATATCACTGCCCTAATTCAGCTTTCCGGTTATTAGATGTCATTCTTTATCAAAATCTTTGGAACAATCAATGCCTTGTGTCACTTTTCTTATATTCTTTATCAGGGATAAAAATTGAATTAAATTATGTATCTGTTAAATGTTATCGCTTAGTCGATAAATCTACCCTTCAGAGAGAAGATGAACTAATTGCAGTTAACTATAATCGGGCTTAGCGGCGCCGGTGGTGTAGTGGTGAGAGCGTGATTACCTCTCACCCCAGCAGGCCTGGGTTTAATCTTAGTTGGCTCCGCCAGGATGTTCTTAGGATCAGCACGGAAAACAAGATCGACGGAAGACAAATCAAGGAAAAAAAAACTTTAATCGGGCTTGTTTATATATTGGAATTCCCGATTGTAATTTTTTAATATTATTTATTTATAATGATCTTTTAGTTTTCAAGGTTATGGACCTGAAATATATATAAAGATTTAAGTGTGAAAACTTGACGTCACAAGAAGTAGAAAACAAGTAAATTTTACTTATTGCGACAAATACATTCACGACTTTGCTATTCCACAAAAAAAGTCAGTTGGGTTTAACGCGATTTTATTTCGTTTCTATTTTTTATCGTGTTTGAGACCACAAGTTTATTTTAAAAAGATCACAACAAAATTAAACAAAAAATAATAAAAATCAGGTGATATTCAAAATACATGACGACAAAATTGGAAAAAAATAAAATCACGTATCACAGAATTGAGTGTCCCAGGAAGCAATAACACAGTATGATTTTGAAATAAATACAGTTTTTGTCTTAAGACCACCCGCACCAGAGCGTTACTATTCGACTATTTTGCTATTTTAGTCACCAACTAGTTTACTCACCGGTCGTTTCTATAACGATTGTTAAGTTATGTTTTTGACTTCCGCACCGGTAGTTGCTAAACCAATCGTCGAACTTCGAGCTGAAACTGATTGCAGAACTTCGTGTTTTTTTTCAATTATTTGTATATGTATTTAAAATAATTCATTTGACAATTTAGTCTTAATGAATAAATTAGAGCTAATTTAACACAGAACTAATCCGATTTGCAAAACTGGTTCATTGAACTCGAAAAAACTCTTCAACAGCCGCAACCGCACGAACACACGCTGAGATTGGTTCGTTGTTCCCAAACATGGTTCGGTGAAAACTTGGTTGCAGTAGTGTTGTATTCCGAAGAGATCTGCTCGGCACACGAAAGTTCAACAGCGCAAGCAGGTCAGGGGCATCAGTTTCACCATTCAACAGCTTAGCAATAAGCAACGATTGCTGTACTTTCCGGCGTTGTTCCAGTGTGTCTAAGCCCAACAGTAGGCATCTATCAGGATACGGCGGCAAATTGTCAGGATCACTCCACGGCAAGTTTCTCAGTGCCAGACGAATGAACCGTTTCTGAACCCGTTCGATCCTTAGGCACCACGTGACATGGTGAGGATGCCAAACGACGGACACATTTTCCAAAATTGGACGGAAAAGTGTGTTCCAACAATGTGGATCCGAAAAATCCTTCGCAACTTTGGAAATAAAGCCCAACTGTCGCGTTGCTTTCGATATGATCGCTAAACGGTGTAAATCAAAAGTCATTTTTGTGTCTAGTTGAACCCCTAGATCAGTCACACTGGTAACTCTGGTAAGAGTATAGCCGTCGATATGATAGTCAAACAAAATTGGATGTACCATGCGGTGAAACGTGATTATCTGACATTTTTCCACACTAATAGCCAGTTTGTTTCTCTGGCACCAATCGGCAAACAAAGTCAGCGAGTTTTGCAGAAGCCAACAATCTTCTTCAGCTTTAAATCATCTTCATAGACCAGTTTGAATCCTTCGCCCAGATCCAAAGCAGCATCGTTGAAGAACTGAATAAACAGCAACGGTCCGAGATTACTACCTTGTGGGACTACAGACTTGTTTGAAAACGGCGAAGATACACAACCCTCAACCTTCACTCGAAGTACACGCTCTGTAAGGTAGGATTCCAACCAAAAAACCAATTGCATAGAAGATCGGTTTAGTTACCCGGCGCCATACCACCCTTCAGGGCATTCCAAGCAACATTGCATATATTCAGGCGTGAAGGAATGTACCGCTGTAAAAATACACTATTTTGCAAATTAAAACGCAAAAAGTCATGCCAAATAACCAAACGAACCAAGATTAAAGGTAACTAACTTTAATTTGAACTCAGCATCCCATTCTTCATTTATCATCTAAACAAGGAAGACGCAAAAGGTTCCTTCAAGTTCTAGGAAATAAAAAATTCCAATGAAGTTAAACGCAAACCCTGGTAGTAAATACCATTTCTTTCGACTCAAACGCAAAGGGTGGTAGTTTTGAAGTATCCTTTGACCTAAATTTCAATCAGGATCATTATCAAGAACTCATTGGACAATTCCTGGAACATGGAAGTGATGCCATGAATATTTGAAGCTGACTATGGGAGATGGAAAATATGAAAATTTGCAATTCTTAAGAAAATTCAATTTCTTTCGACTCAAACGCAAAGGGTGGTAGTTTTGAAGTATCCTTTGACCTGAATATCATTCAGGATCATTCTCAAGAACTCATTGGACAATTCCTGGAACATGGAAGTGATGCCATGAATATTTGAAGCTGACTATGGGAGATGGAAAATATGAAAATTTGCAATTCCTAAGAAAATTCAATTTCTTTCGACTCAAACGCAAAGGGTGGTAGTTTTGACGTATCCTTTGACATTCAGTTAACTAACGGGAACTTTACCGAGATCTCGGCTAACAAACATAAATTTTGCTGAGATCTCAGTAAAAATAAATGCCAAGCCTACTCGGTGGTGCCAATCTCGGCAAAAAAAAAATCTTAGTGTGTACATTCAAAAGCGAATATCTCAATAAAACTAACTGGATTAATGATGCAATCTTCAGCAAGGTTGTTACTCATTGGTTGAACTACAAGTGTTGAAAATCTGAATCTAATTGAGAATAATCAAACTTTTTTATGATCGATAGAGTGTAGGATAGTCATTTTTTCATGTATTTTAACCCAATTCCCCATACAAAATTCAAACTAAAAGCGCCAGCTCATCTGAAAACCAAATGTGCTGAAACTTTCAGATAATGGTTTTCTCACCCAAAAGCACACATCTAGAGGTTGGTCCGTGGAAAATTAGAACTGTTATTTTTGTGGGCCAGTCTAGTGGCTACGGAACGGTCCCCTGGGAGATTCAGAACATTCTTCAATTTCTTAAAAATGATCCATGATTTTTTTTTAATCACTTGTTGTGAAGCAACTCATGGCAGTTCAGTTTACTTCAGAAAAATTCAGGAAAATTTCAACAAAAAAAATTTTAATTTAAGGGAAGTCCAGATAATTTAAAGGATGCATAAAGATATTTCGGTCATTAGAATTGGAGGTTTCATCACTGCTGTCCGTAGTTTTCTTCTAAAATCAAATCTTAAGCATGACAATTACCATTGCTGGCCACAGGCCATCTTCTCCGTTACGAGTAAAGGAAGGATATTTTTGATGTAACATCTGCTTAACGGAAGGCCAGCGATTCACCGACGCCTCCATAGATGCTACGGAGTTGGATAGTTGTGTATGAGATGGGTCAGGATTCGCTTAAGCAGGCGATGCGACCATAGTAATTGTTTTGTTTTGGAAGAGCTGGGGATAAACCCACGATCTTCTACTCAGTAAGCAAAAGCGGTAGCGATCAACCTAGTCGGGCTCCTCAATTTTAATTCCAATTATGTTAAAAATAAAATAAAATAAAACAATAAGGAAGGGTCTTACCCGAATGTTCGAATTTACTCCTATATATGACTGAATTATCTATTATTCAATAAGTATTATTTACGATAATAAAAAAAAAAAAAAATAAAAAAAAAACTACAGACAAAACGTGACTACACCCAAGTAAAGGCCGGCGCACAAAAGATATGTTTTCAGGTTTTTTGACAGTTAGCCCATGGCCCATCTGTCAAAAAACCCCAAAACGTGCGCCGGCCTTAACATTGCAAGTTTTATATAGATTTTAAAGCATTCAACAAGTCTTTTCAGTGTACTTTTTTTGTACTTCTTTTCAAATTCGAGCTCTAAAAGGGTCAATTTGTAATGATGGAACCGATCTTTTGTCTTAGCCATACTAGAGGCTAATGCTCGGTTAGAATTTCAAAATGAGAACCGTAAATCAAAGGTCTAACACAACCGGCGCCGGTGGTGTAGTGGTAAGCGTGACTGCTTTCTAACACCCCGATGGGTCTGGGTTCAATCCCAGCCGAGGTCGGTGGGATTTTTCTGAGGCATAAAAATCTCTGGTCACGTCTTCCTTCGGAAGGGAAGTAAAGCCGTTGGTCCCGGCCCATGTGTGTTGTGAATGGGTACGACATCCTACGCAGGTGTGGAAGGTGCCTTCCTGCACATTCGATTGCCGTCAATGGATGGCAATCGATGTCCGTCGGTGATTGGCACTAGATTGCGGAACAGAGACCGACGTTAAATAAAGTAAAGAAATCAAAGGTCTAACATGTTTCGATCTCTATGCTATTGCCAGAAGTTCTTTCTCGGTTGCTGAATAGCTTTTTTTTTGTTAATTTATTTATTTATCGAGGCTCAAGTGCGGAAACTTTACGAAGCCGAAATCGTATTACTTTTTACAATGTTGCTTGATACTAGAGTCAGTACAAAAGGTGTCCAAACACTCGCGGATTACTCGACGTTACGGGCTACAATCTATCAACAGGTAGGGAAGGGATCAAGGAAAAGGGTTGATGCATATATTATGTCACGCTCTAAGGGTAGAGGGGGGTCTAAGATTTTGTGACAAGCAATGCATTAGGTATAGGCAAAACGTCACGATAGGGGGGGGGGGGGAATTATTGCTCGATTTAGCGTGACATAATTAATGCATGGGCCCAAAGATACACAAGGATACGATTGATAATTGTTTA